TTCTTTGCTGGATCTTATCAGATGGATTTTGCGCAGAAAATCTGCTTTATATTTTAGATTAACGTGGCTTCTACTATTTAGGCCAGCAATTCTTAGATGTGTATGACTCCCAAGAACACACCAGCATGGATCCGGATCCTCACACATACAAGGTGAGCATTTATCCACTGAGCCAATATACCATGCCCTTAAGTGCAATTTATACAAAGAAGAAAAAAAAATCACAATGATATACTTGTACCAGTACTCTTTCATTCCTATGTACTAAGAGTGTGTCTTAATCATATTAATGTTTCTGTAGGTTTTGTGATTTAGCTTTTGAATGGCTCTGTTGCACAGATGAAACCAGCTCAGAGCGTTTAAACTGACTTCTGCAGTTCAAGTATGTGTAGAAACAAGTAGAAAATTTATGCTTTGAACATTATCATTACAATGTAGTGTAATCTCATTTACCTAAGGTGCCCCAAACAGGAAAATTCACAGAGGAAACAATAGGGAAGAGGTTATGGAGCACTGAAGGGAGAGGCAAGTGCGCAGGCAATGTTTACTGAGTACAGCATTTCTGTTTGGGCTAATGAGAATGTTGCGCAAATACACAAGTGTGACAGTTACACATTGTAAATGTACACAATACTTAAAATTTTAAATGGTGGAATTTGTGCTGGGGTATACTTTAACACAGAAAAACTCACATGAACATTTGATTTTGTTGGAATATAGTACAAAGTCTTGCCATGGTTTTGTCCTCAGACTGGCTATGTACTCATTCTTGGATTCATCTAACAAAGGTGCATACATGTCTAGACATAATCTTCAGTTCATCAGGATCTCATCCACACCGCTCATGTTCATACTTCCTGAAACCCGGACATTCATGATCTCCACAAAAACCACAGGTCCTGCCAGCACAAGCTTCTGCCTTGTCCTTGTCCACTTCTATGTGTCCACGTTGTATATGGAGGTTGCATCCTGTACCATCCCAGAGGGCCTGCAACTGCCCACATAGACTCACAGGTCACCTCAGAAGCTGATAGAGGGCATTTGGCCACATCTCCATCTTTCCTGTCCTTTTGATACCAGATATCCAGTCTCAAGCTCCTACATATTCAAAACAAAAAACGTTTTCTAAAATGCTACACTGGTTATTGAAGACATATTCATGAGGTTTGCTCAAAGGTCATCAGTTTTTCTACAAGCAAATCTACTATTTTTTCCGTGTTTACTTTCCCCAGGTATGTTTTGCAAAGCACATATAAACAACATCATTGCATGCAAATGAGGACACACCCATGTGAATGTGTGTGTACCTTCTGATGACTTTGTCCCGTTCGATCTGCTCTCTCAGGTTTTGTGGTTCTTATCTGCAGGCTTGTTTAATTTGGGCTGTCCTTTGAAATAATGTGACTGTGTAATTGATGGATGAGGTAGTCTTATCAAGAAGCGGACTGAGAACCTAAGCACTAATAAGTGTGGCTTCTATAGTATATTAGCTATCTGGCTTGCTTAACAGGAGGAACTCACTTGGTTTGAGACCTGGTGATGGGACGGACTATTGGTGTTTTTGTCTTTAATAACGCAAAATGCCAGTCCTCATGCCGCTGACACCAGGAAGCTCCATCTGTAACACCAAGTTAGCCCGACGCTCTGCCAGGATTTCACCTATCCCACAATATCCCATCCTCAGGTTTCTGGGCACCTTTCTGACCTTCAGCTTATCTTTACTTTACACCGAGAGTATGAAAGCACATCCGGAGCCTTGACCATTCCACAGGGCAAAAACATAGTAGGGCACAACAACAGATCCAACAAATCTTGAGGCCCTAGTTGAGGTCACCTGCAGGGGCAAGAGACATGTGTGCAACTGCAAGGATGGCTTGGGGTAAAGTGCCAAACCCTGGCTGCATCGGGTTTCCAGGATTCAGACACAGGGTCTGCTGTTTTCCTACCCTGACCTGACAAGTTGGGCATTATAAGCTACTTCTGACACACACTAACAAGAAGTCAAATCAAAGTGTCCAGTGGCCAAGAACAAGAACTCCCATATGAGATACACTCATCCCTAATGGCTTCTTAACAAACTGTGTCACAATGTCCATCCTTATTTTTTGTTTTTATGCTAACATGCCATGTGACAATGACTATTATCAAGAGAATGGATAGCAAGTTCTGCTATTTTGTGAGTGAAAGGGAATTCTTGAGTATGTTTGGTGGGAACGTAAATTAAAACAGCCATTATGGCACAGAGGCTAAAGCCACCTTATGAGTTTAAAAATGAACAAAAATACACACAGTGGTAATTCAATATAGCATTTTTATTAAAATGTTAAACACTTGACAAATGATGAAATGTTTTTGCTCTATGGTGTTCTAATCATTTACCTAATACACAAGTGTTACTTGTTTCAAAACAGGAAGAATCAAATGATTATACCCCTTCTCTCAGAGAAAGACAGCCCCACTCCAACAAATAGAAAAGTTAAGCTGGGTGATTTTAAGAGGGTGCTCCCACCCTGCTTCTGCTCTCTGAAGCTTGAAATCTGGAGGCAACATGGTTTTCCAGCATCAACACTTTCCTCTTCCTCTCATGAGGTGGAATAGTCCTTGATCTTGCCCTGCTCTTGGTCAACTCAGATTGTTGATAAATGGCCTTGACCTTTCCTGTGTCCTCGGATCCCCAGCAGACAAGAATGTGCAGATGCAACTTACCTACTGCCCCCACAAGAGCAGTAAGTCATGCCACACAATACAGAGAATTACTTCAGCTGGTAGAGCACTTGCTCAGCAGCCAGGAGATAGGGAATGAACATCCACATTCTACATGCTTGCCCCAACAGGCAGAAGGAAGGACAGGGACAACTGCTTGCATGTCCACTTTATGCCTGTTTCCTCCTGTGCAATGGCTAAAAATGCAGCACAGACCTGGAGAACACAAGGCAAAGCCACCATACTATGGAAATGATGGCCCCTTCTGGTCAAGGGATGTGAAAGCTAAGCACAAAGTGCACTAAGTGACCGTCAGGAAGGTTAAATCGAGGGAGCAAACCCTTAAGGAGGATGTCCTTGTGAACTCTTTGTGCAGAGCTCTGCCCAGGTTACATGTGATTTAGAATGTATACATCACATTTTAAGAACAAACAATTAACAAACCAGTAGGGATGCACAGTGATTAATACCTAACACATTGTCATGTGGATCAATCACTGTGATTGCAGGTTACATTTCTTAAATACATATTTCAAATCAACAGAAGACTTCTGAAGTCAAATCAATGAATTCTAACAATTCAAAGAAAACAGTCATCACCTTCACCTCTTTCCTTATCCTTCCTAGAAACTTATTGTTCTGAGAACTATTGCTTAATTCCTGGCTCTAATGATGGGTACCCACAATAGGATATTTCATGGAACTATAAAGTGATTCCAAGTATCTTCAATTGTCAGAAATAATTATTACCATTTTGCTAAAAGAATCTTGTTCCTGAGGTTGTTGAAAGCACTTCATTCCACATGATTTCACTTTCTCTGCAGCCAAGGCTCCGTATTATAAGGGGCAGTTTTAGGTATTTAATATGTGCTGAAGTACCCATCACCTAAAATTAACCTCTGTAGATTGTTTATATTGTGGTATCAAAACATGCAGTCTAGAATAACAACAAAGAATTTATATTTTTGGCCAAGGCTCCCCATAATACTAATGCTAATGATGGTATTGTTTCAATTTTCTTTTTCATATTCATTTTGGTGCAAAACTGTGTCTGACTTGCTTCTCTATTACTTTGTAAAAGGTGTTTGAAAGAATTTAGCATATCAATTTATTTGCAAAATGCTAAAATCACTATTTCATTAACCAAGCAATTAATTTTTTTCTAAAAAATAATTTTTATTTCATTGGTCAAATGACAGCAAACACTGAAATGATCTAAATGTTGAAGAGGAAAACTATCCACAATGAATAGACTCTTAACCAGCAGAAATATTGACTAGAAACACTTGAGTCAGAAGTTTCTTAGGAACTAATGTTTCCTATGTTAGCCAAAAAAGAAAAATATCTTTGCATCGCATTCTGTACTAGAACCATGAATAACAGGCAATACTCAAAATGAAAAAGAGTAAAAAATTATTAACAAACCTTTTTGACACTTGATAAAATTATGTCACAGTTTCAACTTAGACAACATGTATATTTCATTTTTCCTGAGCTAACATAGAATAATTACTTAATTTGAGAATAACAAGAACCTATGCATGATCTTTATTCAATATGAGCCTTATTTTAGAGAAATATGATCAATTATAAAATAAAAGTTTTTGCAAACATAAAAAATTGTGAATGTTTTCATAGGATGGTATCAGCAGTCAGATACTTTTCCATGCAGAGAAAGAGTAGCCTGAACCAGGATATCTTGTGAAAAGGATGTGCGCCTGTAGACGATGTGTGCCTGTAAAGAAAGCCTTTCTCTGCTAATCTTATGTTTAAAGGACGCCATAGCAAATATCCAATGAGCCCCAGGAATTTGTTAAAATTTTTTTTTTCTATTTCAGCCCTGCAAAATCTCTCTCTCACTCTTGGGTTGTGTGTTTATGTGTTGTGTGTGTGTGTGTGTGTGTGTGTGTGTGTGTGTGTGTGTGTATGTGTTTATGTGTGGATAGGTGGGTTTTTTGGAGTGTGTGTTGCAAACTTATGGACTCTGTTTTTTTTCTGTTATTGCACTTTTATTGACCCTCAGAATGCTGAATAACCTACAGTCCCAACTGTATAAGCAAGAAGAATAAAACCACACAGCAGAGATATCAGAATGGAAAACTGGGAGGATCTGTATTTTCCAATTCCTGGAAACCCTGAAAAGAGATAGATTGCTTGGTATCAAAATTTCTTAAACTGAAGTTCAATTGCATAAGACTTGATGAATTTAATATTGTGTTGAATGCAGGAAAAGGCAATCCCTCAATACACATTGTATTACCTGAAAGAATATGTTTGGAAGCAGTTCCCTTATCTTCTCAGTTAGCACTCCAGCATGCAGTGATACGAATATCCCTGCTGATCAGAACAAAGGGGCTGAGACAGGAAAAACCCAGTTCGAGGAACTTTTTGGTATTTATTATTGCTGATTCCTCTGACAATGTGATTCCTGTGTAGAGGGAGAAAATTAAATCTGCCCAATAAGACAACAGGAAACAGGTCATGAGAATGAGTGTACTCTGAGTGGCTCTGATCTCTGGGCTGGGATATTTGGCACATCTGGAGCTCTGGAGGTAGAGGACACGCTTGTGATGTTTGTACAGATAGAGAGCCATGTACCCACTGCTCCAGCCCATGAGACTCTGAAAGGTGAGGTCTCGAAGAGCCATGAGACAGAGGAAGAGCCACCTGATGATTTGTGGAGCTGGCAGCATGTAGCAATATCCAAAGTACATTCTAACAGCAGATCTGTTCACATTGTTGCTTATTGTGATATAGTGGAGCAAGTTAGAGCTTATGAGAAAGCTAAAGACCCAGAAGAGGAGGAGGTGGGGAAGAACTTGCCATGCAGTGTGTGGTTTGAGCGTTTTCCACAAGGTGTTCCTGGGACTGATGGTGATGGCCTGGACTATACTGAGGAGGCAGGTGGTGCAGATGGAGAGACTTCGAGCCACCCTACTCAGGTAAAATAGTATTTTACAAAACATGTCACCTAGTAGGAAGTTACTAAAATAAAACATCATGCTTATGTTTCTGATCCATAAGCTACAAATAATAACAATATTTGAAATAGCCATTTGAATGAGGATAAGATCTATGGAAGTTTTCTCACGACTCATCACTAAAGTACGTACATGTTTGAAAAGCATGAAAATATTTCCTACAATTCCAGGTCCTGTGAGAGAGAGGAAGCTCATTTTCTGGATTAGGTGTCTCTGTGTCTTTTTATGGCTTCATGAAGTGACCTAGAGAAAACTTGAAGAACACTAAGTAGTGAGCATGACAGTTTCAGATCAGTGGATGTGCTCTGGGCTTAGGGAAAAGAACAGTATCTGTGCAAGAACATGTGCATAGTTCATTTCTCTTTTATGGCATAAAACTCATCAATCATTTAGAGCTATTATTTTTATTTTGAAAAGCAGATTTGAAGAAAGAAGGAGAAACAGAAACACAAGTCCTCAATCTGCCAGTTCACTTACGTTCCAAATGAATGCAATGGCCAGAGTTGAGCCAATCTGAAGCCAGTAACCAGGAGCTTCTTCCTGGTATTCACAATGGCTGCAGGCACTCAAGGTCTTGAGTTATCATCTGCTCATTCCCCAGTCCATAAATAAGAATCAGAAGTGAAGCAACCAAAGCTAGAACTAACTTCCAAGTGGAATAATGGTGCTGCAGGTATAGGATGAGCCTTGTGCTGGCTCAAGTCTCTCATCTATACTTGGTATCTTTCATTTATTCTCTTTCTGCTAAAACAAAGATGGTCAGAGCTGCAATTTAAAAATAATTTTTGTGTTAGTGCATTATCCTGATTTTTCACAAAAGCCTTTGATGTATGATTTATTTCCAAATTTACTACAAGTTTCCGGGAAGAAAGGTGAGGATTCAGTTACAACAGTATTTCATCAGTTCTAAACCACGTTCCTGAGCTCATTGCTTTTCACAGCTCACATTCAGCAACTTACCCATCTGGTCTGTGCTGCATGGACATCCTGCTACCACACCTCAAGTGAATTTTGGCAAATCACCCAGGCACAAAAGGAGAAACACTGCATGTTCTCACTTACCTATGGAAGTGAAAATTTCTTAGTAAAAATGTGAATCACACACAAGTAGTTGCATAGGAAGGAAAGGAAATAGAATGGACAGAAGGCTGAGGTTCAACAGGAGAAGCAATGATGACATTCTATAGCTCAGCAAAATAAGCATGATGAACAACAATTAATGCATGTTTCAGAGTAGCCCTTAGAGAGGATTTTAAAAGCTCCCAACACAGGGAAATAATAAACTGAGAGGTAATTAAACACAGCAGTAGTCATGTTCTGCTTTTTTCACATTGCATTTGGGACTGAAATGTTATGCTGTACCCTGTGAATTTATGCAATTAATATATGTACATTGACAATAAAATCTAAACTGAATAATCTTATGTAGCTTTAATATGAGAGGCAGCATCTCAGAAGAACTACACTTGGCCTTTTCAATCTCATCGCCCAGAAGTTAACAGAGAGTAACAAAAGGCCCCTTGCCCAAGGTGGGAGAGGCAGAGCTGAGGTATCTTCTCTGCTCTTCCTCTGAGGGATATCAGAGGAAAGGTTTTGTCAGGGCTTTGTTTTCTCTGTTTTGTTTTCCTGTGTACCCTGTCCTTACTCTCCATCTTCTTAGGGAACACTACCATGTATGACCCTAGGACTACAACCTGGCTCCCTCCGGCACTGACTTTTCATCTGTAACAGGATGGTGCTTTCTATCACCAAGGTTTATTGTGAGAATTAAATGGGTAGATGCATGCAATGCTCATGTCAGTGCCCAACAAGAAAAAAAACTGATTTCTAAACACACCTGTGTTGTTATGTGTCCTTACACTAATCCTCACATTTCATCATTCTCTATACTTAGGTACTATGCCATATTGTGAGTCAAATATAATTTTAAAAAATAATTGTAAAATCCACAAACAACTGAGGGACACTAGAAAAAAGAGACACTAAAATGAAAGAAAAAAGGAGCCTGTGAGAACAAGAGCTTCCCATCCAGGCTGAGAGGCCACTGCTGCCTGATGCCCACAGTCTCGCTCACATCTATGAATTGGAGGAACCTCAGGCTCAGAGCATCAATGGTTTTACTGCAGAGTCTCCTTCCAGGGCCAAACAAACAGGTGCCACTGGTTGCACGGGAAAGTGATAGCCACCCTCTCCCTGGGCACCCACAACTTCCTCTTCCACAGGGAAACTGAGACGCTTTGCAATTCCATCGCGACCTTGAACATCCTTTATCGGAATAGCTTCCAATTCTAGAGCAAAGGCAGCTACCCCTGCACTCACACACTCAGCCTCACTTATCTTACCAGTCTGCAGGGCTGTGGCAGAGCAGCACAGCCAGGCCTGTTTATCCTTGCTTGAGTCCCAGTACTCAGGGACACTCTCAGTGCTGTCAGCATGTCAGTGTGATGAGTTTGGCTCCTTTTGCATGCTCTGGATCCCTGGGACCAGTTCTGTCCTCTCCCTTGGTGAACACTGTACTGTCAAGTCCAGAAATATCCTGATCCTAATTACATTGAAGCTGCACTGATGAGCAGAAGGCAGCATAATGATGAGCAGGTCTCAAAGGGTCCAGGTTCCTTGGAGTTGGCTATGATCTCATCCTACCTCTGCCACTCACCACCGAGACTCATAAGCCAACTTGGAAGAAGTATCTGAGAGTCAGAAGTGGTCACTTGCTCAAGTTAGCTTTTTGGTTTACAGTGTTTTTAGTGTCTGAAAAACCTCATTAGGAACAGTTTTTAGGTTGATTGGTAGCACAACTTACTTTAAATTTCACAATCTCTTGACTTATTTGCTGATATATATATATATATATATATTCATATAGATATATAAAGCATTTTTATTCTGAAATGAATGTATTCAAATATATAAATTATATTTAAAATATTATTAAACATAATATATAATTCATATTTATTATAAAAGGATCAGATTTGCGTTGAGGAGGAAAGACAAAGGGAAAATCTTCTATGCACTGATTCACTTTCTCAGTGGCTGAAATGGTTGTAGTCAAGCCTTTGTGAAACCAGGAGCCAAGAGATTCTTCTTGATCTCCTATGTGGGTGTCATGGCTCATGTCTTTGTATCATCCTCCACTGCTTGTCATAAGCAGGGAGTTTGATGGAATGTACAACAACTGGGACATGCACCACTGTTACTATGGGATCCTGGTGTTTGTGAGCCAAGATTTTATCCATCGAGCCATCACACCATGCCCTTTACTGATATACCTTAATGTTATCCATGTCAATCATACATAGAAAAATATACAGAGAAAATGTTAAAGGGCCTGGTGGCTACATAGTGTCTAAAGTCCTCACCTGGCATGCTCAACAATCCCATATGGGCACTGGTTCATGTTGCTGCTGCTCCACTTCCATTCCAATTTTGTCTCTATGGCTTGTCAAATCAGTAGAGAATGGCCCAAAGGCTTGGCACCTGCACTCGAAAGAACCTCCTGGCTCCTGGCTTCTGAACTCTTGCTACTGTAGACCCTGGGTGAGTGAACCAGCACATTGAAGATATTTTCTTCCTATCTGACTTTTTTTTCCATCAAACTTGACTTTCAATAATAATAAATAAATCATAAAAAATGAAAATGCTAAAAACACATAGAACAGTAGTTGCATTTCTCCTGTTTTCACACAGTGAAGTTTTTGTGTGTTATTGAGCTGTCTCAATTGTTTTTGCTTCATAATTGTTTTCCAAAAGGTAGTAAATCAACAGTGTGTGCAGTAGGAAATAGACATTTTCCAATGCCTTATTATTACTTGTAACTTTCACTCAAGTACTTGTATTTGCCTTCCTGCAATCAAGGATGGCAAGGTTCAAGTGGTACTGCACTTCCCAGGTATCTTGTGGAACATCTTGTCTGTCATCTGAGCCAGCCTGTTAAATGAGAGGGAAGAGAGGTTCATATGCTCTCCAATTGTCGTGAATGTATGTGCTGGCCCCTTAACATAGCTTGTCTAACATGTTACAATTAAAGCATCTCCAAATATCCTACCTGAACATCTTAGAAGTCCTCCATATTGACCATTAAATCCACAGAGTGCTAGAATAAGACTTGGCCTTGGAATTCATGTCCAGAAGAGGGGTGGTCCTGCCTACTGGTGCTGTTTTCTGACCAAATGATGGTTACAGCACAATAATCTGGACTTACAGCTCATTGAGACATTCCTTTATGATGTTTGTGCTTCTGTCTGTGTGTATTTCTTTAAATTGTCCATTGCCCCAGTTATAATGTTTCTGGTTCTTGATTATCCAATTCTGCAGTTACAGCCCAGACCTCTCTGTGAGGAATGTGTGGCCTCATTATCAGGATTACACATTATTTCTGGTGCCTAAAAAAGCCATTTTAGAAATGGCCTGTCTCTCATCTGTGCAATAGGCAGCAAGGAGAAGGCAGGAGGCAAGTTCACACTGGGTACGCTGTTGTGAGGACTTGCTTGAGAGAACCTGCTCTCCTACCCACCCATGCTCTCTTTGCTCAGTGGCCAGCCCAGACCCTGCTGCAACAGAATGTGCTTTCCCGTGGAGACATAGCTGTGACTTCGTGGTCAAATGGTACTGTTCTAACCAGAAGATGGTCTGTGTTTCTGTCACTTTGGCCAGGTAAGCAAAGGTCGCAGGAGACTCAGCAGAGCCTCTTGCAGGGCCAGCCTTTCCTTACACATCATTGAGCTCACACTGCTGTGCCCTCTGCTGATGCCAGCAGAGTTTCATTGTCTACTGAGTCTCACGCAAACTTGTCTGAGCTGGACTGGGGACCCTTTCTCCCACTTACCTGACACTTGTCCACTGTTCAGAGTCCCTTCATGAGTTATCAGATCCCCTTCAACTCTAGTCTGTGGCTGCCACAGCTGCACAGGCTCTGTTTGCCAGCTTTGTTCAGACACAGAGAGGTAGGCACCAGGAATTTCCTAACAAATCACTGGGTTTCTCAAGTTTCTGTGTTATGTGTGTGGGAAGCTGAATTCAGGTATTAATAAGGAATTGAACTTTATGCTGTATTCATTTTTATTTGGTACTCTTTTACTCAGTACTAAAGCAACTGAGGAAAATAAGACAAATATCAGTACTGCTGGCTTAAACAATCAAGGTAACAGTTTAGGAAACGGGTTTTAGTTTTGAATGCAAGGAACTTAGATGTGAGAATAGCAGGAAGTTACAGAGATGCAGAAGGAAGGAGATTTAGCCACACTAATTTTTTTCAGCCCCTGAGGTGACCAATGGGACTTC